ACACACACACACACACACACACACACACACACACACTCACTCACACACAGAGGCGTCACAATATGCGTTTTGCTAGATATGGTGCCAATAGTAGTTTGAAATTTAAAGAGTCAAGCAAAACAGAGCGTGGAAACTCATTTTAAGCTTATAGGCTTTTACGCAGTGGTCGTCGACTTGTCTTGACATCTGAGTGTACTCGAGGCGTAGACATGCGTGACAGCAGGATTGTGAACTTGTTCTTATTATTCTAGTAAGAGATGAGTGCTGATCAGAGATCTGCTTGGCGTCATTGCAAAGGCTGATTGTTCGGCTGGCGGGCTCGGGCTGCATATTCTGAACAGTTCCTGGAAATGACGCTAGAACGCTTTTTAAGCTTTTTTGACGTTGGGCTTGACCGATGATTTAATATATGCATTCTCAGGAGCAGTTTTTATGCGATTTTGTCGTGCAGCGCTGGAGCGCTGCAACAGGCAGCAAAAACGCACATTACGACGACCCTGTCTGTGTGTGTATGTGTGCGTCTGCCTGGGTGTTTGTGCTTGGCAACCACACAAGCTTTGAAGCTGAAATTTTGCTTTTGTGTTCTCTGGCCAAGTGAGACCCTAAGAGCATGATATCAGATGTCACGCGCGTCTGTGTCTTCGTACGGACAAGTGAAAGTTTTGGCGGGAAAATCGCTAACTGAGAGGGGGGGGGGGATGGGCGAGAAAGGTTAGAAAGCTGCAATTTAGAGGGAGTATTCCCCTAGTCATGTGCGATTAAAAGATTTCAAATTCAGCTCTTCTCATAAGGTCTTTTTCACGCGCAAGCCACTTTCTGTTTGTTGGGTCACTGAAGCCAATATCTGCAACTGGCACACCATGTAACTGCATAATTAACTTCTGAACTTCGAGGTCCATTATGTCACAAATTCTAACTACTGTGTTTCCTTGCGATCTAACTACAGCACGAAATAGTGCAAAAAGGCATGACTGCACTGGGCCGCCTGGTACTTTCTAACCTGGCTTTAGAAGGAAACGGTTCACCGGGATATCCGCTGGAGTATGTTTTTGCAAAATCTTACGGTTTCTTGTTTTACCCATGTCTTTGTTGTGATTTTCGTCCCGGCAACTGATAAGTAATCACTGATGTTAAGGCAGCTTGAACCACTTGTGAGTTTGCAAGCGCATCGAATCTAGCAAAAGATATATTTTGGAATGGAAATAAATCAAACCCTGATTTAATTGCAGGAATTACGGTCGTCACAGACTAGTTTTTGATAAGCCGGTTTCAAGTTGCATCCGCCGGTATTCTCCTCCAGACCAACGCGTGTTGTATCCTGAAGGTATTTTCTTAGAGTTAACGAGGTCAAGCCAAATTTTGCTTGGATTCAGCTGACAGAGAGTATATGCATTCAGAATTTCTTGATTTTCAATGGCGCAAGCTAAAACAATTTTTATACACGTTTGGATCATTTTACTTTGGAAATTTGCAAAATTGGTTTAATTTGACGAATTTTGTCTCGGCTGATGCTTTTAGCATTGTTTTTGAAGTTGTGTTTCCTTCCCTTCTGCCTCCCTCCTCCGCCATTCCCAAAAAAAGGGAAAAAATTTTGCGTTTAGGACACTTTAGGAAATTTAAAACAGCCAACCGAAGGAGTTTGTCACAGTGACTTAGTTGAATTTCAGAATGCTTGCTATTTCATTAACATTTCCCAGTGAAAGCGTGTGTTATCTGTCATACTGGCTGAGAATTGCCTGAAGTTTCGTTTAACGCCAGCGATTTGCCTTGTACCAAGAAAAAGTGGTGTTGTAGAATGGACTAATTCTGTTAGTTGCGTGGCTTAAACCAAAGGCTTCTAAGGAAACAGCGCGCAATTCGTCTGATTTGTGATTTTTTTTTTGCGTTTTTTTGCATCTATGCAATGCGAAAATGCATATTTTCGAAGGGTTATCTGTTTGTGTATGTATGTGTATGTCTCTGTGTTCGCTTCTGTCGATTTTTATGCGTTTTTTGCTGTGTGGCAGCATTACAAAACGCATATTGTCACGGGGTTGTCTGTGTGTGTGTTTGCGTGTGTGTCCCACATTTTTTCCCGCACTTTCAGCTCGGGAACCACAAAAGCTAGGCGGCTGAAATCTTGGTATGGTGTTCCCGCCAGCGGGTGGCGCGGCAAATTTAAATTCAGCCTTCCCGTACCCGCAAGTAACACGTACGGCCCCGTGAAAGTTTTTTACGGATAATTAAGAACTTTCTAGGAAGCTGAAATTTTAGGATAATGACTCCCTGCCCACGCTCAACCTTGCGCATTCAAATTCAGCGTTCCCGCGCTCTCGGGTATCATCTACGGGCTAGTGGAAT